TAGACTTTTGTCAATATCGCTTTAATTTCCATCCGATTTAAAGGTTTACACTGCTTCTGGGTTCCTCTTTAAATGCTCTGCTGTGAGTATTCTTCTTGTTGTAAGTGGCTTCCACACTGACATGGATCTGTGCAAACCGCGCGTTGACTCTGGTATTAATTTACGGACGCCCCAGATCAACAAACGGCCAAAAACAACACAGAATGCGACCTAATGGTTTCCAGCAGCGCAATTAATGGGTGTCTCTATCACCTGTTTGTTTTATGATGGATTCCATCCCCGGTACCCCGGCGTCTTGCCTCTCGACTGCAGCCGCGTACAACCCGTTTAATGAGAACCGGACCTCCAGTTGATTGGAGCTCTTCTGACTTTTTCAGCCTCCCGCAATCACCATTAAAAGTTAAGAGTAAATAGCTTCGGCCCTCTGCATTGTCTCGCCTGGTTTGCTCAGGATTTTAATTGCAATTAGCACAGACAGTGATTTATCGATGCGTAGTGCGTTTCAGCGCGGGGCCGCGCCGGGCTAATTGGTTTGGTTAAAGCGGCGTGACAGGGAGCACGCCGGAGGCCCCGTGGCTCTCGGGTGGAGCACCGGCTCCTCGGATTGCAACAAGTTCCTCCGAGCGCTTTCCTGCATGTTGGCTTACATCTGTATCTTTCTTTCTTAGTCCTTTCTTTCCATCTTCCCTCAATCTTTTCCTATTATCTTTAGTTTCCATCCTGTCCCTCCTCTTAGTGCCTGCAAACCCCCATCAGACGGGATTTGTCGCTGAGGTAATAACACTCAATCAGGTTGTTTTTTGTTTTTTTTCATCTTATCAAGAGCGGATCTTCCACGGCAGCCGGTTTGAAAGGGAAGCAATCATTCACCGATCCCACGCCATTACAATGCTGCTAGATGAGGGGGGGGGGGGGGGGGGTATTCCTCTCCCAGGCAGGTAAAGTGTCAACATCTCACTGCACGTGTCTGTGGAGACTGAGCAGCGGTGCTGTCGCGCCTCACGCCGTCCTCCTGTTTCTGTCCAATCAGTCACTGGTCCCAGAAGGAAGGAGACGTCCAGGCAGCCAATGGACTCGTCTGTGCAGCGGTGTGTACTAAAGGTGCAGCTCGCCCAACAAGGATGTGCGTTGTGTGTGTCTGTCTGCATTATGAGGCGTTGAGTGGTACGCCATGTAAGTTGTTTTAAAGACCTTCATCTCTAACCGCTGCTCTAAAGATATTCAATAGAAAGCAAACAAATAATGCAAATTGAGACTTTAAGGGAAGCGAATGACTCAAAATGATTGATTGTCAATATTTCTGATGATGATTTTTCCGTCTGTCAACTTATTGGTTAATTGTTCAAAGACAAGACTCTAATACAGGATAAAAGAACTTCAGCATTCATGTTGTCGGCTCGCATCCTCTGGTTGGCTGCACGCTGCTGTTGAAGTAGTAACATCTTCACTCACTCATCCTGCTCATCAGCTGGTCCTTAGCAGAGCGAGCTAAGTCCAGCTCGTCGTATCTTGATGCTGACTCGGCGCTAGCGCTCGACAGCCTCACAAAGCAGAACACGGGTGGGTTGGGGAGGGTTTGGGGGGTGGAAATGAACATCGGCACGGGTGAGATCGGATCAGACCAGAGTGGAGTTGGGTGGAGCAGGAAAAGAGCCGAGCGGAACAGAAAACGGCGGCGAGGCCACAACACCTCCCAAATATAAAAGAGGAGAGCGGTACGAGCCATAGATAGCTCGGCACCGACCGGGTCACAGGCCCAAAAAAAAGCCATATTCGTTGGGTTGAGCCGGCAAGATGTCAAGAGGATCCCACATCAGGCAGAAGTTACACAATGCCAGCCGGCCACTTGGAACAAAGCACGAGCACCGCTGTGTTCCTTCCCTGTGGAATGACTCACCGAGGCCGACGCGCTTAGACAATCGCTTGAGTCAGGAATTGATATTGAATCCGTTGCGTAGTCTGATGCCAGGCGGCTTCACTTTTTATTTATCACATTAATATTTAATTGCTATGCAGAATGTGAAAAGTTTCTGAATTCAAATGTTTGCAGGTGAGGTTGAATAATGTATATGACTGAAAACGCATCGCTATGGGTTTGTAGGCTCTGACCTCCCGTCTATGAAGCAGCTGAAATGATTTTGTTCATTAAAGTCATTCGTCCAACAGTCTCTGGTTGGAACAGTTTAAGTCGGATATGTTTTGGGTCACTATCATTCTAGGAATCCAATTGAAAGCCAAAATGGGGATGTGAAGTGAAGACATTCAATAATAAAAAACTGAGGAAAGTCCACAATCTCCACGTATGAGAAGCTGAAACCAGTTGATTAATCAGCTCGTATTTGTTCCCCTCATTCTAGTTCTGATCTTCAAGTTTCATGTGGAGGCTTCCTGTGTGAACTAAGACCAGATACCAGCACGTGTTTAGTGGAGTTTGATTTTCTCAGCTTGGTGACTCATGTGAGACTACAAGTGCAGCTCTGCACTTAGAACCGTGTCGGTCGAGAGTAGAAAGGGATTAAGGCTCTCAGGTCTGTTTGGGAGAGCAGGGTTTGAGTGTCTGCTTCGTTCTCGCTTTCATTTTTCATCATTTGCTGCTGCTGCTTCATCTTCTTCTTCTTCTTCTTAATTTGCTGCTTCATCTTCTTCATTTGCTGCTGCTTCTTCTTCTTCTTCTTCTTCATTTGCTGCTGCTTCTTCTTCTTCATTTGCTGCTGCTTCTTCTTCCTCGTCCTTCTCTCTCTTTTTTGTCTCCTGGAGGTTTGACTGAAGCTTTTCTCATCCTCACCGGCAGCGGTTGCCATGGTAGTGTCGGCGCTGTGAAATACCTGGGACGGTTTTTCCACGGACGCAGATCGGGAAGACAGCAGCTCACCAGTTCTGTGTGTTGGAGACGGACTGAAGGAGACAGAAGAGGAGGATTAGGGTCCTCGAATACATTAAACAGAGGGGAGCCGAAGTTGATAAAAAGGCGAGTGAGAGGCCACTGCTGAAAGGGGTTTCTGCTTCATGCAGGTCTGTTGGGTTTTGATGGATCCCCTCCGGAAAAGTCTCACTGATCCAAAGCTGTTGGCGGAGGAGACATATTCACATTTGAAAGACTCTTGAGGATGAATCATAGATGAGAAAGGGACTTTTTAGTTAATCATTCTCTGTTGTCCTTTAAGGAAATAGAAGTCTCTTTTCCAGGCAATTCACATTTTTGACTATAAGAGGAATCGATGAACTAGTCATTGGCTATAAACTGAAAAATACTAATCATGAAAAATAAGAACATCATTGAGAATTGAGGTTAAATAACGTGCGGAGAGGATGTTATTTAACCTGCTGATCAGCTTGTGTTCTTGAATTGATACATTTCTAGGAGGATTTTTTGTAAATAATTTAGATTTGAGTCGAAAGGGTCTTCAGGGTTAAAAACATCAGGAAAAGATTTACAAATGTTTATTGCTTATTGCTGTTTCTCATATTGAATTGTTTCACCTCTTCGGGGGCGTAAGAGTGATTCAAATAAGATGATCGGAGAAGGGAACTTCCAGCACATATCTGCTCTTGGTAGTAGTGTATTTGAACGAGAGTATACAAACAAAGACATATTTAATGCCTCAATAGTTCATCTATTGACTTCCGTTAAATGGGCCCAGCTTTCTTTCTTCGCGGGGGAGCGTCAGGCGATCCCCCGTGTGGCCCAACATGAAGCCATCACACAAAGCTGACGTTATCCGCCGGTCTCGCAGTCACTGTGACCTCGATAACGCTTCTATTCATAACTTGTGTTTTCTCAAGCCGCTTGACAGCAGGGGCTCGGCCGACGCGTAGCCTCTTCTGCTTGACCCCCTCCGTCGCTCCCCGTGCAGCCAAGCAATCAAGGACAGCCGCAGATGGTGCCGAGCGTCTCTCACACAACCGAAAAGGAGAGGCTGCGACTGACTGCGGCTCCTCCGTCAGGCCTCCCGCTGACCGTCCATCTGTGTGTGGCAGACTGAGGCGAGTCTGCTGTGCCCGCGACTCCGACGGAGCCGCTCCACCTCCCCCATACAATGATTTATGCACGTGGGCGTTTGTTTCCTGACTGAAGTACAGTCCTGTACGCCAAATAAGAAGTTACGGCTGGGAAATATTTATTTAGTGAATCTTTTGGGGCAGTTTTGCATGTTGGGTTTCATGTTTCTGTCTGAGCACTCATTTTAAAATCCAACTGAACATTAAAAAGCTCATTTCACTGCAGGGTTGCCGTGATTCAATTTATTTGTCAAATCGGTCCATTGATTTCAGCTCAGACCTTTATGTTCTTTCATATAAACAACGTACCAATCATCCCTTAGCTGCCGTTGGTCCTGAGCAGTACACCTCAAACCAAGGCCGCACCTTCTCACGGTCAGAAATGCGTGAAAAACAACCCGCTTTGGTGAAAAAAACCAAGGGCGGACTTTTTCTGTGGCCCTCAATCGTGTTTTAATGTTTAGGTGTTATTCTTCTCTACTTCCACTTGGACGGAGCGATGTCCCTTCCAAGGATTCAAGTATTTCTTCCTTCTATGTTTGCACAAAGATGACCGTCCTCTCCTTCGTCTTATTCCACCCAGAATTACAAGCCTTTGGCCGCGTTGCGGTGGAAGCGACATCCACAATAACAGGAGCTTTTTTAGTGGTGCTTCACATCTGACACAGTGCGTCCGTGCTTAGAAGTGCCTCGTGTTCTGACTGAGCACTTCATCTGGACATCCCCTCCCCCCCGTTTGGTTTGTACGTGTCTGTTGTCATGATTAAAAACTGCGATGTAAAACTTCTCTGCCGCGGCGCCGATGAGACTGTATTGTGATTATTAATAATAGCAGTGCCTTTTGTAGTTGTGCGAGCCCCCGGCGTCACATCTTGCCTGCTTTCACTCATACTGATGAACCCTTTATACAAAGTTATTAAGGGCCTTTCAGAGAAACACTGCTTTAGCATTTCATAGTGTTGTTTTGTAGACGGCCGTAGTAACAGTTGTGTGTTTTCCAGGGGATTGCTTCACTCAATTCCGGTTTTCCGAAGAAAAGGAATGGGAGATGGACTCTGCAGCCAGTCAGGTAAATCTATATCCTACACGACCATCAGCACCGTCTTTCATAGATTCGACCCTCCCAGAAAGAGCGTAGTAACATTGTGGACTCCCTTGTGGCGTCCGCCGGTACACACTGAAATATCTCGACTACCAGCTGGGTTTGCTCCGAATTTTGTACAGGCGGTCATGTTCCCTAGTGGATGAATCGCAGCGGCTTTGGTGATCCGCTGGCTTTTCCTCCTGATCCACTATTATTGACGTCAGTGGGTTTAAATGAAATGTCTTGTAACCAGAAAAGTAGCATTCGTTTGACCACCATGACCTAAATGTTTAAAAGATCCATGCAAATATGCTGTTATTGCTTATTTCATCTTCTTTGGAATTCAATATTCCCCCTTACTCTACCACCATTGTGTGTGATCATAAATTATCTACACTAAGTACAACGTGATTCAAAATTGTCAGTCAGCGTTGCCTAAATGTAGGGGCTGATTTTACGGTTTGTCCCCCTGTTTCCTCTGTAGATGTCTGCAGTGTTCGTGGACCTCCCGGCGCTCGCCGAGATCCTTCAGCAAGTGCCTCTCCACCAGAGACTCAACCTGGAGGCCGAGCTGCTTCAGGTGGGCCGTTTGCTCGAATGTCCTCCAGAGGACAAAAAGAGACTAACCAATCACACGGTTTTGCTTTTCCTGTCTCAGATCTCGACGCCATTAGAGCTGCCCGGTCTGACGCTCCCAGTCAAGCAGGCGATGGCCAAAACAGCCACGTTCACGCTTCCGTCGGCAGCTTTAAAAATAGTGTCGAGCTCCGACCCTCCAGTGTCCTCCAGTGCTGCAGAACCTCCGGTGGATGATGATGAGGAGCTGGACCAGCTGCTCAGTTTACAGAAACCAGTCTGGCATGATTCAGGCGGCCAATCAGTCAGCGTCGCTCCAAAGAGAGGTGAATATTTTACTTAATGCTCTACAGTATCTCGATTTGACATTTATAAATGCTTATTTGCTCTCTGGGGGAGGGTTATGATACCACTCATAGCTGTATGTCTGAAATACAGCAAACAACTTCTGAGTTAGCTTAGAATAAACACTGAACTAATTTGTATGAAATAATATACTGTGACATAAAATGCTAGGACTTTGTTTGCATAATTGGAGAGTGCTCGAGTATGTTCAAAACTAGTAACTTGTTTCCAACATTCTTTTATCCTGCAGCGTGTGAGCAAGTGCAGGAGAAGGTCCCTGTGTTGACAGAGGAGAAAACGGATGAGGTGAAAAATAAAGATGTCAACCCTCGTGAGTCTGCTTCGGTCAGGCAGGAAATGACTGAGGAAGACTTGGAGGACTGGCTCGACAGCATGATCTCCTGACCGTCAGGAAAACTGGTCTTCTTCAGGTCACTCCTACTACTGTAGGAGAAATGTGTTGTTGCACTTCAACTGTCACTCATTTTTTGTTACACGCTGCAGGATTGTTGTAGTTTGAGGAATCAGCTGCAAAAAGGATGGAGATATATTGAACTGTTGCTTAATTGCGCCAATCACTTTATTCCGCTTCATCAATAATTGCAGTTTACCAAAGCTACTAATACATACAAATAGCCAAACAATAGCAGTGATTTTGTCTTGACTAGGACTTGTTTTTTTTTGTATTTAGGGTCCGTGCGGGTGAGCAAGACACTGCTTACACAACCAAACTAAGCTACATGTACACGTGTCATCTTTTTTTATACAAATCTTCTCCTTATATAATTTAACAGCTGCAAAACTATCTTGAGCTACATCTGCTTAGTACTAATCCGGAGCAACAGCACTGCTTGTGTCGGGAGGGAAAAAAGTGATGAACGTTTTGCATAGTTTCTCATAAGGCACTTGATAACACCTAAAGCGAGTCGTCTCTGGTCCTGGAAGAACCGTATTCTGTGACTCCTGACAGATTTTAAAAAGGCAGATTAGGTTTCACTCATATCTGAGAAGTGTACTCGATTGATGCTGGCGGCACACATCCAGTCAGTAGGTTGGATAAAACATGACGTTGTGCATACTCACACATTCATTTGGCATGCTCGTGACTCTTCTCCTGTGTCAGATCTCTACACACGTTTTGTACCACCGGCTGGGGTTACGCAAGTGAAAAGGCAATGTGAATCAACAGAAGACTTTGCATATAACAGGCGTTTCTGGCAAAGAGGACTCTGATGCACAAACCTGAAAGGTCCATCAGTCAATTGTCCAAAAATTATTTTCATTTTTTTGTGTATCACCATGGAAGCAGACAAAGTCCAGAGAGTGGTAGAGTTCACTATCCCTTTCAAATAGAAGGTAAGTAGAGGCAACACAAAAATGCCCCTCGCTAACCCAGCTGGTCCTCGTATTGTTTACGGAAACAGTCCCCAGTGGGGAAGAAGTCCCAGCATCTCTCCTGGTACAACTTCCACACGTACGACTCCTGCAGGGGAAAGAAAAACATTATCATTTACTGTCCTCAGTCACAGCACCAGAACTGTCAAATAAAATCTAGTATGAAAAAAGTAATGAGTTCCTGGATTATTATTAGTATATGTGTGTATATATATAGTACATCAGAAAAAAGGACTTTCCATACAAATAACCAAAGCTTTACTGTTGCTATATACGTAATACATCATTAAGCATCACATGTATGAAGACGTTTATCTTCCGCAAAAAAAGTAAACCTGTGCTTGTATTTCCTCTAAGTGGATGCACACCAACAAAAAAACAACTTTGATCTCCGGTGCACTACAAGAACAAATTAATATCCATAGTGAACCCACACATTGCTGCTTCTCCCACTTGTGATGTTGCATAAGTAAAGCGAAGTTACTGTAACCTTCCTTTGGTCACAGAGGAAGTAACTCATGGCTTCAGAGACTCCTTCACCTACCTGGCCCGTGTGTTCAGTCTCGTCCTTGTTGATTATGTACATCAGGAAGAACCTGCAACACAGGAGCAACATGAGGTGTGAGCAGTGTGGATCACACGTGCGTGCAGACTTTGATCTGCTGCTGGACTCACAGGTAGTTCGCTAGGTTGTGCTCTTGTAAGGTGTGGGTCTCAAACCCGTGAGGCGTCCGGTCAAAGTAGTCATTCCCGATGCCACAGATGAAGCATTTTGTCTGAAAAGAGTCAAATAACGAGGGATGTTTACGTTTTGTCAATTTACACGTTCACTGCTGTTGCTTTGTATCAATGTTCCTAACTTTTAAATGAGGAACCACCAAAATAGACGACATATGACTAAATGAAAAACATCTCACCTCCATGTCCTCCTTCACCTGCTCCTGCTGGTCCCTAAGCTCACCAAAGGCATCGATGATCAAACCTGAAGGAGGGGGAGCAACAGATGTGTAAGGTGCATTTATGCTCTATGAAGCAGAGCGCAGATAAATGACGTGACTGCGAACGTTTGTACCCTGAATGATGGCCAGCAGAATGACAATGACGAAGAAGAAGAAGGTGATGTCGAACAGGATGCGGTAGAGCTCATAGACGTCTCCAGCCGGGTCCTCCAACTCGTCTCCAATTCCACCACCAGCTCTCACGCCCACATACATGTGGAACAAATAGCACTGCCGACAGAAAGAAAGCAAACGTTACAAATGCATGAATACAGTGTTGAAGTGTTGGGTCTTCCTTTTTATTTTTACCGAGGATTCAGTTTGACAAATTGACAAGGCGTCATCTACAACTAGAAGATGATAGGAAGCATAAAGCAAGCTAATAAAATGTTGAATTTAGTTTGTTCTTTTAGGGGGAGAAAATACATATAATTCACTAGTTATTTTACTAAATAACGCATTATGTTTTTCAGGGCAAATCCTGAAAAAAAAAACTCCTGCTTTCACACCAAAATTAAGGGCGGCAGGCAGACATAATCTAGTGGATTAATATCTTGAAGGCTGGAGACATGGAAAGCTTCATTTGTAAATGAGTACATACCGTCATCATATCGTCACACTTCATGTCGGGCTCGTCCTCATCCTCGCTCTTGTTGTAGAACTTCCTGAAGAAGTTGAAGGCGACCACGGTGTACAGATAGACGACCACGGCCAGCAGGCCGACAGTCAGCATGAGCTAGCAGGAGAAACAACCATTGACACGTTACATTTCACCTTTATTTAATCAAAGTGTGAGTTGAGGGGGCAGATGTTCCTGTTCTTTAAATGTAGATTGTAAAAGTAATCTTATATCAGAGAGCCGACTTAACATGTCAATCTCAATCTTAAGGCACTTTTCTTTAAGCAGTGCATAAAAGAACTGCAATGTTCTAACGGCCTTGAAAGCTGAATTGAGGATTTCAGGTTGGCGGCATTGAGACTTTCAGCAATTCATTGAATCAAACGTTACAGAACTTATTTCTTAACAAAACCTTAAACAAGAAAGAACATTTATATGTGGATGATGCCTCTGGGAATAAAGCTAATATAAAAGATGGAAAACCCTTGAGTAAGTAAACATTTCGATTCTTTATTCCTCTAAGCTATTTCCACCATTTAATCACTTCAAATCAGAGTGAAAAGTAAATCCTTTTTTTAACTAAAATGGGTGAAAATACTACATCTAAAACGTGTTTACACTGCACTTTACTTGATTGCTGCACACTGGACTTCAAACCACATCCCTTTACTGCTCAATTCTGACAGAAACGTGCTGCTTGGCCTCATGAGAGCGGTGCGCTGGTGCTCTTATCTGGGCTCTGGCGCTCTCTGCTGGTCGATGTGCGTACCTGTTTTCCATTGTGGGTAACGGAAGACAGGATGGTGCGAAGGGTCTTGATGCCCATGGCGATGTCCAGAAGATGGGCAGCAAAGAAGAAGTTGTTGAAGTGTCCGAAAATGGACACGGTGGAGTACCAGATCAAATACAGAAAGTACTGCAGGGGAAAAAAGGCATTTATTAGTGACAAATGATCACTTAAATCTTTGCGTTGCTCTGCATTTTTGTATATTTCTCTTCAGGCATGTACGAGTTTGGCATACTATTCCGACATATTTAGATTTTACATTATTAAATAAACGTTTTCCCCCTCATTTTAATTTCACTTTGTGATTAATTACTAACCAGTCATTAAGCGCACCCTACATTTCACTACACATAACGGGAGTGTGCGAGATAAATAAACTATTTGAACCCTTTGGTGGGTGACTCTGTAATCTAAGGGTTAATGTTGAATAATAAAAATAAATCTCAAATCTAATTTAAATTCAGAATAGCATTTTAATAAATTGTTAAATCTCCCCAGCGCTGTGAATAAAAAGGTGTTTTAGTGATCACATTGAATAAACTTACGTTGTCAGTCAGAACCACGCCCATTTTCCAGATGTGGTACTTTGTATCAATTGAGCTCAGCCTGCCATCGAGAAAACAAAACGTTGAATCAAAGTAGTGCCATTCCTATACAACTCACATGCAAGTATATATATATATATATATATATATATATATGTACGATAAAAAAAACTATGTAAGAGGATTAGAGGGCATTAGGCAGGTAATTCTGAGGAAGGGAATTTTAGTTGTATGCTGTTAATTACCAGAAACTCCACCATCGTATTCACTATCATGCTCAAGTCAAGCCCCAATCTAAAAGCCCTTTGAGCGCAATTTCAACAACAACTTAAGACCAAGACACTGCTGTGGATTTTCATTGTGAGTGAACAGAGATGAGCAGAGTGGAGTCCTCACCAGGAGAGCAGGGAAGCTTCCTTCTCCACCGTCTCCACTGTGGGGTCAAAATCCAGAGCGCTCTTATCCAGGCCCAAGAGCTCGGCGATGCGTTCAGCTCCATAAAGGTCACCGTATTTGTTGATCACCTGCACATTCAGAGACATAAGAGATGATGCAGCACCGCAGCAGAGTGTGTAATTTCAATATTGCCCTCAAATATTAATAACATTATTATTAACGACTTGAACCTCTCCCGTCGGGACTCTCCAACAATCCAGATTGACTGATACATTAATTCATCTGAATCTGGAGAAATCATTGTGGGAATGCCCTCCTTTTAATGACGTCGAGAGTACAATAAAAAAGAACAAAAGGCACACAACATTTATTTAAATAAAAACAAGCAACCGTCCGACAACAGACAACAATTAAGTTCAATAGCGTTTGGCACAAAAGCTGAAAGTAGTTATTTCCAAAGTGCTTCAAGCTTTAGCCAAATGTCTTGAATAATAAAAATAAGACCAATTTCAACTTCATAAAGAAGTGATATATGATGATGGCAAGTTGCCATTAAGGCCTTTGAAAATACATAAAACATTTTACACCATATCTATTTATCACAATTCTGTTTTTGTGTATCAGAATGTGGTTGATCACGGTTGATTGTAATTTTGGCCCTAAATTCTTCTTAAATGCTCACCTTGCGCTTGATAAACTTGTCCCAGTAGTTGCTGGGGAAAGACCTGTAACATGAGAGAAGAAGTTAGACTCAGCTGTGTAATACAACGAGCTGATAAAACTATTTAATTTCCTCCCAAAGGTTAAAATATAATGCAGCATTAAAAATGTGTCAGCTAGGAGTAATCCTTTTTTTCATTTTTGCTGGATGACTGACAAGCACTTCATCAGCAACGATGAATACTTGATTAGTTAACTTAGTCATTGGAGCTCGTCGGTTTTGCAAATACAGCAGCGAGCATCTTCGGCTTTGCTCGGCCCCGACTCACTGTGACTCCTTTAAAACCACACAGCTCGTCAGCCTGCTTCTGCAATCGCTTACATGGATCCACAGTGGAGGCCTGTGACTCACGGGGTGTTGATGACGAGTCGATCCCACTGGCCCTTGATGTCCTCGTCAGACGGCTGCTCGGTGATGTAGAGGCCGTCGAATTCGAGCTTCCTGGCAATCTCTTTCTCCCTCTTGAACACCACCAGAGGAACCTTGAGGCAACACATTAAGATGGGTAACCGAAACTGTTGCTCACACGCGGGAACCATCTGCAGATCAGATATCCGTGAAGCTGGTGTGTTGAAGCAGCGCCAGTGTCCTCGGCGTACCCACCTTCAGGCAGTAGTACCCGAACAGGCAGACCAGTGAGATGACCGTGTGGAATACAGCCAGGAAGCGCAGAGTCGGCAACATGTAGCCGCTGCTCTCCTGCAGGACAAACTCATCCATGTCGAAGAACGTGTTCAAACCGTCGTCCTCCTCGCCATCCCACGTCTTCTCCTCATCTATTTCTTCATCGGGATCAGCAGTGACCTGAAAGGCAAAGAGTACATACGTGATTTGTGTCTTTTTCATTCGATTTTAATATCTTCCCCTCAAATACACAGCAATCAACTGTTGGCTGAAGTCGACTTATCTGCACTCCCAATGGACGCAAAGCTTCCCCTGAGTTACCTTGTAGAAGAGAAGAATGAAGTTGATGGCGAAGCACACAAACAGAGCCAGGAAACGCAGGTTGTAGAAGTTACGAGCCAGGAAGTTCTGTCAGGAAAAAGCTTTGATTAACAAATTTTCAATTCACCAGTGCACATTTTGGAGTTATGAAAAAAATAATAAT